GAGAAATATAGTGTTCTTTGGCATCGAGGAAAGAGAATCTTCGTACGGAGAACTGGAAAACAACATCGTCAAGTGGATAGGAGAACGTCTTTCTATTAGGTTAGACCATAATGACATTCAGGAGGTAAAGAGAATTAGAAAAAAAAGTAAAAGACCTCGGCCAATAATAGTTACCTTCACTACTCTCTGTCTCAAAATAAACATATTTAAACAAAAGGGAGCACTGAAAGACTTCACTTTCATATTATATGAAAGAGGACTATCCAAAATACATTTCAGAAAAAAAGAAAGGAACTACAACAGCAAATGATCCTAGAGAAAGAAAAAGGCAATATAGTAAGAATAAAATATGATAAACTGATCGTAATAAAACCTAACAATAAAAAAACACTCCTCCTACTCCTACATCACCCTATAAAAATTCCCTACTACAGGACGATAGAAACACTCGTGCCACCAAAAAGAACAAAATACTTCTACTACAGACATCGATTCAAATATCAAATAGCTTATCAGATGGTGTCCTAAAACCGGGTATGCTGAACTTCTTAGTCAACAAAAATACAAATATTGTAACAAACAACCAAGATACCAAAAACAAGAATATATAACAATCAACCCACCCCTCCCACAAAGATCTCATACACGAACATATTATAATAAGAAACAAAAACTATCTTCCAATACGGCTGGTCACCGAGGAAGATCACGACCACAACCCTCCAAAGAAAAATACAACCATGTTAACAAACCCTATAACTATCTTACCAACCAAGCTTTACATATTAACCTACAATATAAGAACACTGTCATCGTACGAACGTTTAATAGAATTGGTAGAGGCAATGAAAGATATAAAATTCGACATAATCGGACTATCGGAAGTGAGACGTCAAGGAACAAAAATAGAGGAATATGACAATTTTATTTTATGCCACATAGGACTTACACCTGGAAAGTATGGCGTTGGATTTTTTTACTACATAAAAAACATAAAAATAACATGGAAAACTTCAAAGGTATAACAGATAGAGTAGCACTATTGAATTTAAAAATACAAGGAAAGGAATTATCTCTTCTACATGAATATGCACCCACGGAATTAGCGAAAGAAGAAGAAATTGATATTTTTTATACAAATGTAAATAAAGCTATTCACCAAGCACATAGAACTTTTATAATAATGGGCGACTTAAATGCTAAATTAGGACAACCCAGACAAGATGAATACTTAGTTACGAAATCAAACGGATACGAAGAAAGAAACCAGAGAGGTAAGAGATTGATAAACTTCGCGCTTGAAAATGAAATAGCAATCCTAAACACTTTTTTCCAAAAAAAGCCGAACCAACGATGGACATGGCGCTCACCAAACTGAACATACAAAAATGAAATCGATTTCATCATGTCAAATCAACTAAAACTGTTCAAAACATTGGAGTATTAAATGTCAACTTTTCTTCAGACCACATACCAGTAAGAGCGACAATAATATTAACAAAACACAAAAAAATAGGTCAAATTTTAGCAGCTGCCAACACTCTACATTAAGGAAAAAAGAGGAAATATTGAGATACAAAGAGAATTTTACATCCTATATACCAGACTTACAAGACTGCTCCACCACTTCTGTACAAGCCTACTATGATAAAACAATAAAAGCTATCTGCCAAAGTCTTCAGAGTGCGCATTCAGTAAATAAAAACGACAACAAAAGTAAAGGAATATTATCAGAGCGTACCTTAACACTCATGAAAAGAAGACATGAGCTACAAAGAACTAAAAATAAAACTCGACCACTAAAAATGAGCTTTCAGCACAGTGTTACGCGCTCAACGTCATACACCAGCGCCATCTAGTGTCAGGAACGAGAGCGAGGGGAGCTTTGCAGAAAATGACATCACAAATCTTTACCGAAAGCGCCATCCGAAGAACTAAGTTTCTAGAAAATCTACACTCGAACACTCGTCGCTTTGCGCGCATTTACTTGAATATTCCGGATGCTTCATTGCTAATTTGTATATATAGGCGCTGCAAGATGCGATCGCAGCAGTCATAGATAATACCTAGCAGCAGTATTGGATTTAGCGAGACAAGCGAAGCTTCGGAGCGGAATAAAGTGAATTAGTGTGTTTAATTATTAGTGTTTTAAGTTTTAATTTGTGTAAAGTAAATTAAAGTGTTAATTTAGGTAATTTTATCGGCAATTTTTATTGTCACGAACCTCAAGCTCGTAACAACTGTATAAGCTATGAAGCAAACTTATAAAACAAGATTATACAAAATATTGATTTAACACCATCGAAAGACACCTGATACAGACAGGCAGCTCAAAAAGAGCATTTAAGAAGTTGAAAACATGTAAAACATGGATCGACGGACTAAATCGGGCAAATAAAACATTTATTAATCGAAATGACGTTATAAACGTTGCAACTGAATTTTATAAAACCTTATATAACGGCAATGAACAAAACTTGACAGGACAGATAAAAACCAATATTTTTATCTGTCCTGTCAAGTTTTGTTAGCACAGCACAGCATAGAAGTTAGAGCACAGTTCGATGTAAAAGAAATAGCGGAAGCAATTAACGTATGAAATCAGAAATAAGCCCAGGCCCAGACAACGTAACAAAAAAACAGCCTGCACTCAGCTTACTCTACCTCTGACTCTCCTGTTCAACCGCATAGTAGAAACTACCGATACACCTACTCAATGGTCAGAGTCAAATATAATATTAATTTATAAAAAAGGAGACCCAAGCGATATAGGTAACTACAGACCAATAAGCTTATTACCATGCTTGTACAAACTCTTCTCTTCGCTTATAAATCAAAGAATAAGCAATACATTAGATTCGGAACAGCCCATTGAGCAAGCGGGATTTAGAAAAGGCTTAAAGGCTTTAAAGGCTTCTCTACTATAGACCACATCCAGACCTTGGAACTACTAATCGAAAAATATCAATAACGAAGGAGAGCTCTCTATATTGCTTTCGTAGATTATTTGGATGGGATTCTTTGGAGGAGGCCTTCACCCGTTCTAGCAAACCAAATTAGCTTGAAAAAATAATTACTACAGTCATAGATAAATAAGTACACAAAAATAGATATAATCATAGGTTATATAAAAAATATATTAGGTTTAGTAATAAGATAACACTGTTACTTACTCTTTCATTCGTTTGTAATAAATAAAAAAGGCTTTTTTATTTTTTTTATTTTGTTTATTTTATTATATATATATATATATATATATATATATATATATATATATATATATATATATATATATATTCATACAAAATTGTTTTACCTGCACAGAAAAAGTTACAAAAAATAATAAGTCTGCCTTTAACATTATCACTTAAATTTTTGAGAAATATCAATTACACAACAGCTCAGAGGCCACTTCACCTCTTCGTGCGGGCTGTCTTGAAATGCGATAAAATGATTCGTGAGGATATGTTCTGTAGCATGATCATTCATGAAATGCATGTCATGCTGCATTACCTTATAGGGTCTGCTTTAGTTTTTAGTAGGTCACGAAAATGAAACCAAATAATTTACCATAACAATATTTTATTACGATTGTTAATAAAACAAACGCATACGTCAAAAAAGTGACGCCATAAAAATAGGCAGTTTTAAATATAACCTACACTACGAAGCAATTTAAATGAAATAGTAAATTAATTATAAGCCTCATTTACATTCAGCCCCTGCCACTGCTCCTCGCGCTGCCGGCAATACTTCGATAAATACTGCCGTAGCCGGATCGCGGGAAGTATGTATTTACACTCTGCCCTACCACTCAGCCACTCACACTCACATCACTTTCGGCTTTCGACTATGGCAGACGTCGAAATAATTACAGCGTCCGCGCTGTGTCTTCTTGCAATACAAAATTATGTTAATAATTTAAAAAGATATCAAGTTCAAAATAAGATAGATAGATAGAAAATTTATTTGCTTAAAAACATGGTACATAAGATGATCAATGATGTGGAACTGACATGTTTTGCCATAATTGGCATGCAAAAATGATATGAAATACAGCTAATTACACAAACCCAATGTTATATTTTAAAATTAATGCATTGCTTAAAAGTTAGGTACAAACATTCTTTTTGAATTCAAATATTATATACAATTAAATACTTATACAGATCCACTCTATTTGAATTCTATACAGTAAATTGTTCATAAATTATTAATTGTATTATTACATTATCGTTACATAAATAATATTATATATTATATGAGATTAGTAAAGCTATTATTATTTTAATAATTACACTACAGTATAAATTAATTCATAATTTTAATAACAATAAAATTATAATTTAAAAATCTCAGGCTATTATGCAAATACCTTGAACGAAATAACCACAAATACATATTACCATTTAACTTATTTTACATTTTAATAAATAAATAATCAATATGAGTTACTAATCGTTTTTAGAAATAAAATGTCAATGTTCATTAATTCCTTAAACTAAATTTTATATTAATATAATAAATTTGACGAATTTATAATTAATTATGTACATAGGTACTATGTTATCTCAAAAAAGAAAATTCGTAGAAGATGATGAATTGTGGTTTTTATCGTTGAAATCCTATATAGTTTTATCTGATTTCAGCAGTTCTAAAAACTTTATTGTATTTTCATTATTCCACTCGAAAGGCATTTTGGTAGATCGTACTTATTTAATAACAAGACGGCACGCACGTCCGTTTATCCAGGCGCTTGGCGCGAAGTGAGCGATGGAGCTGAATGTGAACACTCAGTGCCGCTCGCGCTGCCCGTCCTTTGACTTCCGCATGAAAAACCGACATTTGAGGGGTCGTCGGGCACTGGCAACGGCAGCGGCAGTGTCAGCGCGAGTAGCCCGTTTACATACTGCCCTGCTCGCTGCCCTGCTCACTTCCCTGCCCAACAGGGCTGAATGTAAATGGGGCAATACGTTACGCTAATATCACAATTGTTTTGTTTATGTCTTGGGAGAGTATTCAGACGTCTTCTCTGAAGCAGGACGGAGACACCAAGCCCTCTTGCTTCTGAAATATTAAAATGGCATTATGTTTTACAAGTAATATAGTAGACGATGAATAAGAATATGTATTTCATGATAAAGATTAATACTTGCTAAGCCGATTTTAAGCATATTTAGATAATTCAGTTATTACCATAATTGGCAGTTACGCTTCTTAATTGCTTCTATAACATAATATTTTAAATTAAATATTACAATTACAAGACTTACATAATTAAATAGGGTGGTTAACTGCGTTTTGCGTTACCACTATAGTAGTTGTGTTAACCGTGTACTTAGTTGCGGTGTAAGAATATCCACTACACTATATCATCCAGCCAGTCAGCCAGTGGGCGTCGTTAGAGATATCAGAGAGTTACAGAAACAGGGCAGCAGCATCTTTCTGATGATAACTTAAAATTACAAAAAGCTGCGGTGGCCAATCCACCTGGCAAAAACCCCCCTATGAGAAAATATATGGAAGAGGTATGTTCAACAGCGGACTTTTATAGACTGTAATGGATGGAAAGATAGACTCGGCCACTACATAAATTTCACCTTAACATATATCAGACTTACGCTAAATATCGCCTTAAGGAGTGTCTGCTGCATGGTGACCATGCCCGCGGATGATTAATGGGGTCGTACCGGGAACCCATTATGTACCGCTGTCCGGAGCACTGGTTGTACGGAGGACCATCGTGATTGATACCCAAACTGAAAGCAGTACAGTAAAGTACAGTAAAGTAAAGTAATGTAAAGTAAAGTAAATTAAAGTACAGTAAAGTACAGTAAAGTAAAGTAAAGTAAAGTAAAGTAAAGTGAAGTAAAGTGAAGTGAAGTAAAGTAAAGTAAAGTAAAGTAAAGTAAAGTAAAGTAAAGTGAAGTGAAGTGAAGTAAAGTGAAGTAAAGTGAAGTAAAGTAAAGTAAAGTAAATTAAAGTAAAGTAAAGTAAAGTAAAGTAAAGTAAAGTAAAGTAAAGTAAAGTAAAGTAAAGTAAAGTAAAGTAAAGTAAAGTAAAGTAAAGTAAAGTAAAGTAAAGTAAAGTAAAGTAAAGTAAAGTAAAGTAAAGTAAAGTAAAGTAAAGTAAAGTAAAGTAAAGTAAAGTAAAGTAAAGTAAAGTAAAGTAAAGTAAAGTAAAGTAAAGTAAAGTAAAGTAAAGTAAAGTAAAGTAAAGTAAAGTAAAGTAAAGTAAAGTAAAGTAAAGTAAAGTAAAGTAAAGTAAAGTAAAGTAAAGTAAAGTAAAGTAAAGTAAAGTAAAGTAAAGTAAAGTTGGTCGCCACGACAGAAAATCGGCCTGGACATTCTTTATACCTATTTAAAAAAATTACCTATGAGCGATTTCGTGCGCCAGTAAATAGCCTACGTTCTTCGGGTGCCATTCAAGCAATGCGCAGCTTTTCTTCGTACTGCATATACCAGCCAAGTAACCGCGGCCTGTAATATAAGTTGAACGATAGTCTTAAACAATTCTGTGGTATTTCTAACTGGTTTCGGATGTAGTGACATCTTATTGTTGCTGTCAAAGCTATTAACACCACCTTTCTAAGCGGGTGTCACCGGTCGAAGGCGGGATTTGTAGTAATTCTCAAGTTTGACATATTGGCGATTGCGTTGTATCATATTATACATAAAAAACTCGTTTTTGGTTTGTACATTCAGCGGGCTTATACGGGAAACCCCCGAGTCCAATTCCATTTTTTCATTAAATACGTTATACTTAACGAGGCATTCATATAAATTTTGCAAAAAAATGTCCACCCCTAAAGGTGGCAGAATGAAGTTCTTAATGTTCTATGTAACTAATCCAATCAAAGGGTTAAAAAGCCGACTTCAAAGAACTATAAAAATAAAAATTTTTCATATTCTAATTCTTCTAAAAACTTTGTTTTACAACCGATTTTAGAATTTTAAATTATTCTTTTATTTCTTTCAAGCCAGCATTTGGTTTTTATTAAAAGGTAATTTTTATTATCAGAAAGATGCTGCTACCAATCTACCGTTTTAATTTCCATACGTTGCCTGTTACGACACCGACGGTACATAGCAATAATATGTATATTATATTCTTGCCTACGGGATGAATTGGGGCAGTGGATTATCTTTTATCTTACATCTTCATTACATGGCGTACGAAATAGTTATTATACATATATATTAAAGGCTGTTACCAGAGACTTCGCCTGCGTGGAAATTTATTTATTTCTTTATTTAAACTTTATTGAACCTTACATTACAGTAGAGTACAGGATCAAAAGGCGGCCTTAATGCTAAAAGCATTCTCTGCCAGACAACCTTAGGGCAGTGATAGAACTACGAAGGCGGTTGTGTTCAGTAGTTGAATTATATACTTACATATAAATAATATCATATCTTAATATATATAAATTACGTGTCACGTTGTTTGTCCGCGATGGACTCCTAAACTACTTAACCGATTTTAATCAAATTTGCACACCGTGCCCAGTTTGGTCCAACTTGAGAGATAGGATAGTTTTTTTGCCCACGAGTGAGCCAGAATTTTTTTAGCGATTTTAAGGATTTTTAATAAGACATGACAAAGGGTCATCGAAATGGGCAGAACACCGTTTGCCTGGCAAGCTAGTAGTATGTATAAAGATACATATTATACTGATGAAACTAATATACAGAGATTATAACTATAATAATGACGGAGCTAAGCAGGTATAGGTTGTCTTAATTGTTGAGGCAGGCAATTATTACGATTGAATATCATGGGTTTTATATGTTTTGCGCGGAACCCTAATTCTTTTTCTAAAATAAAGCCAAACGTTTTGGAGATCAGCAGGAACAAACTGACAAACGAACTTTTAATAAATTGTTTTTTGTTTTAAGTGCCGTATAGTATATCATATATTTAGTAACAAGCTGTTGTTTTGATAATAAAAACAGACATTTATGCACGTAAATGTGCATAAGTGTCTGTTTTTAACAGCTTAAACTTTTTTATTATTATTTTAAAAATGACTATTAATAGAACAAAATAAAAAAATGTGGGTTACATAGGATCAATCAAATATTACGAGTACTATTTATACTAATAAATAAAATTGAAGGCTAATATCAAAATAACAGCCTTATTACTAAATGCATATGAAAGTATATAGGTAATACCTATTAGGTATGATACCTTATAACACAACTTTTTTTTTGTCTGTCTGTTCCGGTTAATCTCAGAAATAACTTAACCGATTTTGACGGACTTCCAGCTGATGTTAGAAGGAGTAACTTAGGCTATTTTTATTTCAGAAATAGAGTTACGGTTTCGCGAAAAAAAATTTAATGTAATCCAATAATAATAAATTCCTCGCAGACCAAGTCGTGGGGAACAGCTAATTTACAATATTATTGTTTAAGGGTGACCTTATATGCATAAAATAATTACCTGTACTTCTTCGGACTTCTTCACCAGTCTTGCCGATATAGTACAGATCCAAGCCCGTTAGCAGTACAGAGTAATACCAACTTTTCGCCATTTTCTTTTGACTCTGCCACTCACAATAACTCTTAAGATACTTACTTCCGTTTTCATCCATTCTAACGATTCTTGTCCTATTTTTCAAAAACCTCGTATCCATTATTCTAAATTTCATATTTTGGTTTAAGCTTGGATGATGAAAAAAACTCTCTACGTCTTTTAAAATTCCGTTTGATATTATCTTAAGCCTTTTTCTGGTCTTTGATCCGTATTCTTTGATCAATCTATTTGTAAGTACTTTGTCTAAATGTATCATTATGTTAATTGTGATTTCATATGAATTCACTGGTTGCCTTAAATTGGTTCTATGTGAGTTCTTCTGTAACTCCTGAAAAGAGTTTTAGTAGATAAGTGACTCATAAAACTTCTTCTTCTTCTTGACTAATGTTATTAATTATTATACAATAGACGAGTTTTTAGATGATACATTGTTATAATATTATTGTTTTTATGCTTGCAATTTGTCTTTAAATTTTGTATAATTTTATAAATATTATTTAATTATTATAATTATTAAAAAATGTTAATTTTAAACTACTTAATTTTTAAAAATATTTGTCTTACGACAATACACAGCGCACTATTAAATGTATGATCATCTATTGTATATATATACCTGTGTTTCGCAAATGAAAATTCTGACTCTGATTTTGAAAAAGTATGGGTTCCGGGTTTTATGCTCGAAAGAAACGTTAGCATGGCTCATATGAATTTTTATATGTAAATCTCCTCGTCAAAAATGTCATATGAACAATGATGCCATGTTTCGTTTGATGAGTATACCCTTTTTACTGGAAACGAGGCATTCCATCTTACTCGTAGTCCTCAAGGTTGACAACGCATCTGTATTTTTATTATTAATCGAGGATAGATGTACTCGTAGATGCTTAGGGGCCATAGTTTCCATTTACCATTAGGTGGGCTGTATTGGCCCCATATCCTCCCGTGGGTGTCGTAAGAGGCGACAAAGGGAGACAGGCAGGAGATGGGCAGCAGCATCTTCCTTATAACAATAATAATATAATAAAAAACTGCGGTTGCCAACCCGCTCGCCAAGCGTGGCAACTATAGCAAATACGACGCAACAAGCGGCCCCCAGTCCCCGGCGGTTCCGCCATTCCTGGCTACGGTGCCGACCATGGTAACGGCTGGGCAGGGGTGCTAAGAATCTTCGGTGGAGGTTCGGTTGCCACCTACGATTACTCGACCTGGCAACATTTGACGCACGCACCCTGAGGACTGACGAGAAGATACTGGAGTTGGAAGAAGAGGTAGACAAGTTGCGCTGGCATATTATTGGGTTATCCGAGGTCCGAAGAGAGGGGGAGGACACGGTAATCCCCGAGTCTGGCAACTTGTTCTATAACCGGGAGGGCGACCATCTGTCCCAAGGAGGTGTCGGATTTATCGTCCAAAGTCTCTCGTCAACAACGTTGTAACGATTGGGAGTGTGTCGACGAGGTTCGCGTACCTGATACTCAGAATCGCCAAATGATATTCGCTGAAGGTCATACAGGTTTACGCACCAACCTCGGCACATCACGATGAGGAGGTGGAGGAAATGTATGAGTATATTTCTAGAGCCATGCATTCCTCCAAAAACCACTACACGGTGTTGATGCGAGAAGGGAAATTTGGAGTAGGGCAACGGAATCGTAGGGGCCAGCAGCTGGCCGACTTTATGGAGAAAGAGGGACTCTCTATGATGAACTATTTCTTCCAAAAGCGGCCCCACAGAAAGTGGACCTGGTCGAACCCCGACGGTTCGACAAAAAATTAGATTGACTTCATTACGACGACCAGACGCCAACAGTTCAGTGATGTGTCAGTTATCGCAAGGTTGCAAACTGGTAGCGATCACCGAATGGTTAGAGGCACACTGAACCTAAACGTTAAGTTGGAAAGGTCTCGTCTAATGAAGTCAACGCTCCGTCCGCCACGTGCTCTGATCCACTATCCCGAAACCTTTCGGCTCGAGTTACGTAACCGCTTTCAGTGCTTAGAAGATTGCAATGCAGTGGACGATATAAATAACAAGCCCGTGGAAACTGTCCATGCGATCGGAGCTAAGTTTTGCAAGACCCGCCGCAGAAGAACACAGAAACTCTCCGATCACACTCTTAATCTCATGTCTGTTAGACGGGAGATGAGGCTGCAATCGTCAACAGATTTGACAGCATACTGGCAACTGAACGGACAGATATCCAAATGCATGCGGCGGGACTTACACAACTTTAATACTGCTCGTATTGAAAAAGCGATTGAGCGGAACCAGGGCTCTAAAGTCTTTGCCAGAGATCTGCCTGCCAGTAAGAGCTAACTGTCAAAGCTGACGACTGAGTGTGGCAGCATTGTTTCCGGGACACCTGAGATTCTGAGTCAGATTGAGAGGTTCTATGGGCAGCTGTACACATCACCGTTGGAGCCACACGCAAGTGTGAGTAACGATCCAAGAGCAAGTCTTATCCGACACTATTCTGATGATATCCCGGACGTCAGTCTGAGCGAGATTAAAATGGCTCTCTAGCACCTTAAAAACGGCAAGTCCCCGGGCGATGGTGGAATTACAGTGGAGCTTCTGAAAGTGGGTGGAAAACGGGTATTTGAAGTCCTTCGGAAGCTCTTTCATTCTATCCTCCATGGAGGCACTATTTCAAGTGCGGTGGTCTTGTTCTTCAAGAAAGGTGACAAGGCTCTTTTGAAGAACTACAGACAGATATCCCTTCTGAGCCGCGTCTACGTGCTGTTTTCGAGAGTCATTACGAATCGTCTCACACGCAGATTCGACGACTTCCAGCCTCCCGAACATGCCAGTTTTCGAAAAGGCTTTAGCATCATAGACCACATACATACCCTTCAGCAAATTGTACAGAAGTCCGAAGCGTACAATCTGCCACTTTGCCTGGCGTATGTGGACTGTGAGAAAGCCTTTGATTCCGTCGAAATTTGGGCGGCGCTACAGTCCCTTCATCGTTGCCAAGGTGACAGTCGGTATATCGAAGTGCTGAAGTATTTAAACAGCAGGGCTACAATAGCTGTCCGAACCAGAGTACGAAACCTATCCAACTGCAGAGTGCAGAGAGGTGTAAGACGGGGTGACGTTATATCTCCGAAACTCTTCACCGCTGCATTGGAAGACGTTTTCAAGCTACTGGACTAGAAAGGATACGGTATTAACATCAATGGCGAGTACATACTCACCTTCGATTTGCCGACGATATAGTCCTTATGGCAGAATCGCTGGAGGACTTAAGCACTATGCTCAATGACCTCAATAGTGCCTCCCAACGGATAGGTCTTAAGATGAACATGGACAAAACAAAGATCATGTTTAATGTCCATGTCACTCCTATGCCGGTAGTTGGGGAGCACTAAGCTCGAAAGTTCTTGACGAGTACGTTTACCTGGGACAATTAGTCCGACTAGGTAAGTCCAACTTCGACCGAGAGGTCAATCGACGGATTCAATTCGGCTGGGCAGCGTTCGGGAAATTACGATACATCTTCTCGTGAGGTATACCTCAAAACCTGAAAACTAAGTTGTACAACCAGTGCGTGTTGCCAGTGGTGACATATGGAACCGAGACGTGGTCCTTCCCTGCTGGACGTATGAGGACGCTCAAAGTCGCTCAGCGAGCTATGGAGAGGGCTATGCTCGGAATTTCTCTGCGTGATATACTTAGAAATGAGGATTTCCGCAGTAGAGCCAGAGTGACCGATATATCCCAACGGATTATTAAGCTGAAGTGGCATTGGCCGGCCATATAGCTCGAAGAACCGACAATTGCTTACCACGAGTGGTTAAGGGGAATATTGTAATATTTATAGCATTGTTATATTTTTAATAAGAAAAATAAGAAAAAAATAAGAAACCGTTCGGGAAAAACGGTTCTTGAGTGGCAACCTTGTACCGGTAGACGAAGTGTAGGGTGACCCACTAGATGGAGTGACGACCTGGTAAGACATGAAGGAAGTAGATGGATACAGGTGGCTCAGGACCGTGCTTTGTGGCATACCTCGGGGGAGGCCTATGTTCAGCAGTGGACTTGTGAAGGGCTGTAATGATGATAATGATGATGATGGGTGGGCTCGTTTGCCAACTTTATTCTTTAAATTAAATCCGTAAAATTAAGTACACAAGTAAATTTCACATAATAAGCATTAAGCACTTTATTACGTGGTAGACCCATGCTGCAGTTATATTAGTAGAATAGTTGTAGCACGAATGGGTCGGCTCGACCGGGGAAGGACCACGCTCTCACGGAATACTAGCGTAAATCAGCAGCTTAATGCTGCTGTGTTTTTTATGGTGAGTATAGAGAACCGGAGACCCTTTTTACTGGAAACGAGGCATTCCACCTAAGTCCTCACGGATGATAACGCATCCGCATTTTGATTCGTAATCGAGGATAGGTGTAGATATCTATGAGCCACAGCAACCACCTACCATCAGGTGGACTATGTACTCGCTTGTCATCCTATCCTATAAAAAAGCAGTCCAACTGTTAATTTTAATGTTAAACTCTCATAGCTCTCATTCATTTCAACTCTAAGTTTTCGAAATAGTTTATTGCACTCGTTATATAATAGAAAATAAAGGATATCTTTTGTTTATAAAATGTTGCTAGTGTCAGAGACACAAATTCTTATGAAGCATTGAGAGGAGTGGGTTAAGATAATGTTCAGTAGTTGACTTTTGATAGATTATAATTAATACTGCGCTATAATTAAACTATTTTTAAATAGAATACGGGTGAAAAACGAGCATATAGTCTACCTGATGGTAAGTGAATGCTGTGGCCCGGCAGCTATGACACAAATTCTTATGAAGCATTGAGAGGAGTAGGTTAAGATAATGTTCAGTAGTTGACCTTTGATAGACTATAATTAATACTGCGCTATAATGAAACTATTTTAAAATAGAATACGGGTGAAAAACGAGCATACAGTCCACCTGATGGTAAGTGAATGCTGTGGCCCGGCAGCTATGACACAAATTCTTATGAAGCATTGAGAGGAGTAGGTTAAGATAATGTTCAGTAGTTGACTTTTGATAGACTATAATTAATACTGCGCTATAATGAAACTATTTTAAAATGGAATACGGGTGAAAAACGAGCATACAGTCCACCTGATGGTAAGTGAATGCTGTGGCCCGGCAGCTATTACACAAATTCTTATGAAGCATTGAGAGGAGTGGGTTAAGATAATGTTCAGTAGTTGACTTTTGATAGACTATAATTAATACTGCGCTATAATGAAACTATTTTAAAATAGGATACGGGTGAAAAACGAGCATACAGTCTACCTGATGGTAAGTGAATGCTGT